AAGTGGTGGGGGATATTCATTTACTCATTCATTCAACTAAAGTTTTTGAGGACCTACTAGGTTCTAAGTAATCTGCTTGTTCTTGGGATGCAATGGAGAACTAAAAACATAGGCTCGCGAGTCTTGGGCTTACATTCTAATAAGGACTTCAAATATTAACCAAATTATCCACACAAACGTGCATAATTATAAATTCCTGTAAGTGCTATAAAAATTATTATGGAGGAATCTGTTAAAAATTGGAAATAGGAGTAAAAGTCTATTCCTATCATTAAATTTGTAAATGTTTTCTCTTAGTGTGTGTTTTTGATTTTTAAATTCTTAACAATGTCTTTCATAGAGAAGATTTTAATTTTAGTAAAGTCTAACTTATGAATGGTGGTGTTGATGTTACACCTAAAAAGTCATTGCCAAACTCAAGGGTATCTAGATTTTCTCTTATGTTATCTTCTAGGAGTTTTACAGTTTTATATTTTAGATTTAGATCTGTGATCCATTTTGAGTTTGTATTTGTGAAAGATGTTACACCAGTGTCTCAAGTTTTTTTTTTTTTTTTTTTTGCATGTGTATGTCTAGTTGTTGCAGCATCACATGTTGAAATGATATTCCTTTACTAGGAAAAAGCGAATAAGACCAGTACACAAATGAATGATTGAAATGACTTAACTAAGATATTTGTCCTGAAGGGTGTATAGAACTTTGCTAAGGGGTTTAAAAGGTGGATTCCATAATTAAGGTGGAATAGGTGGTGCATTTGAGGTGGATTATGAAAAGCGAATAAAATTTCATCACAGTTGGAGCTGAGGAGGAAATAACAAAAACAAAAGGACAAATGGAGAAAGCACAAGGGATGTATAAGAAGCAGAAACAAGTCCAATTAAGCTAAAGCGTAAAAATGTTTTGTGACAAGTATATTAGAATGACAAATAGGATGATATGAACGTACTTCAAAAAGTTCATGAAAAAATAGAATTAAAAGATATACGAATCTTTCCATGAACTTTTTAAAGTACCCTCATATTATAGAAGGCCTTGGATGCCAGATCAAGAGTTTCACTTATCTAGTCATTCAACAAATATTATTGAGTGCCTACTACATACATGTCTACTACTACATATATATATATATATATATATATAATGTGTGTGTGAGAGAGAGAGAGAGAAAGGCAGCAATGGATAAAAATAGTAATAGGAAGGGTAATGGGAAGTTCTGGATAGAAGGTGCCAATTTACAAGAGTCGTCTAGGGAAGGACTCTGATCAGTGTAATATTAAAAGAGGCCTATAGGAAGTGAGAGGGAGCTTTTCAGATATCAGGGAAAAGTGTATTTCAGTCAGAGGGAACAGCAAGTGCAAAGGCTATGAGGTAGAAGCATGCTTAACATGTTCAAAAAACACCAAGAAAGCCAGTATGGATGAAAATAATTGAGTAGGGGGTGATATTGGAGGGAGATAATGTTAGAAAAATAATAGGGGTGGCAGGGGTGGGGACAGCTGCACAAATTGTATATATAGGGCCTTGTAGGCCATGGTAAGGCTTTGGATATTTCTTTGAGTAAAAATGGAAAGACATCAGGAGTTTCGAGCAGAGTAGTAACATGACCTGACTTAGTTTTTAAAAGATCACTCTGGCTGCTGAGAGGAGAAGAGTGTAAGAAGGCAAAGGTGACAGCAAGGAAACCCCTCGTGAGGCTATTGCAGCAGTGAGACGAAATATGGTAGAGGTGATGAGGGTGAGAAATGTCTAGTCATAGATATAACTTGTTGATAGAGCTGATGGGATTTGTACATATATTGCATGAGAGGTGTGAGAAAAAGAGAAGAGACAAGGATGTCTCTAACATTTTTTGTGCCGAGCAATCAGAAGAATCAAGACACCATTTACTAGAGAGAGGGAATCATGGGGGAGGAGGAGGTTTGGGGCAAAGGTACTCAGTAGTGTGGTTTGGGATGTATTAAGTCTGCCTATTAGACTTCCAAGTGAAGTGTCAAATAAACAGTTGGATGCATAAATCTGGAGTTCAGCCATTGTCAGTATATGAGTGGTATTTTAAGCTGCGAAATAAGGAAATGAATGTAGAGAAGAAAATAGCTCCAAGAATTGAAGCTTGGGAGACCCCAAACTGTGACAGAAAGATGAAGAGGAATGAGAAAAAGATACTTAGATGGGGATGCCAGTTAGGTAAGAGAGAGAATCAAGAGAGGTGTACAGGAAATGAGGACAAATTTATTCAAGAAGGCATTTATTAAATTCTGCCATAGGTTAAATAAAGTGAGGACTTAGAATTGACCATTGAATTTGGTAACGGGAAGGTCATTAGTGTCCTTAACAAAAGCTGTTTCCATGGAGTGTGGAGATGAAAGCCTGAAGAAACTAAGTATAGATAATTATTTTGAGGATTTTTTCTATGAAGCAAAGAAATGGAACAATAGATGGAGGAAATTGGAAGTCAGGGGAGGGCTGTTTGTTGTTTGTGAGATGGGTGATATAACAGCTGAGAGGAAAAACAAATGATGTAAGAAAGAGAGAAGAACCAGTAGGAATGATGTCCTTTAGTATCTGAAAGGGATGGAAGCCAGTGCACAAAAGGAGCAGCTGGCCTTACAGAGGAGAAGGGCAGTTTATCAGTAGACAATTATCTAGGCAATGAGAAACCATTGAGGTTTTCTGAGTATATGTTATGGTTCTTTTAATCCTTATAATCAATTTATTCTTTGCCTTTTACCAATGGGAAAATCCAGATGCTTTAAAGTATGCCCCAAGGGCCGGCCCCATGGCGCACTCGGGAGAATGCAGCGCTGGGAGCGCAGCAGCGCTCCCGCCGTGGGTTCGGATCCTATATAGGGATGACCAGTGCACTCACTGGCTGAGCACGGTGCGGGCAACACCACGCCAAGGGTTGCAATTCCCTTACTGGTCACGAAAAAGACAAAAAAAATAAATAAAAGTATGCCCCAAAATAAAACACTAAAACTACAATTCTCCTCAAAATTAAGTGCATATCCAGAAAAGTTTAAACAAAACATCATGTTTATCTCAGCAACTTCTCCAGCCTTCATGATAAATCAAGATCCTTATGCTTTTTGAAAGTCACCAAAATGTTCTACCTTGAAAATAAATTTTCTAGTACCTGAAATCAATTTTTTTTTTTTTCCTTTTTTGAGACCGGCGCACTGCGCTCAGCCAGTGAGCGCTGTGAGCGCACCAGTCATCCCTATATAGGATCCGAACCCACGGCAGGAGCGCTGCTGTGCTCCTAGCACTGCACTCTCCCGAGTGTGCCACGGGCTCGGCCCTGAAATCAATATTTGACACACATTGGACCTTTTGAAAATTCATAATGAGTAATAATTTTTTTAAATTACCATACCTTGACTACCAACTAACACTACCTCAGACAAAACTGGAAATCAGTGGATCCAAATCTTTCTAATGGATTCAAATCTTGGAGATTCACCACTTTGTAAATCACACGTAGGAATTTAGAGGATGCTTTAAAGCAAATTAAAAGATAGTTTGTGATATAAATTATGGACTCTTTTGATCATCCATGAACTAAGTTTTATATGTTGCATTTTTCCAATGAAGAAAGAAACAGCAAAGATCAAATATATTAGGATATTTTCTGGCAAGTTATCATTGAATTTAGTAAACAGCTTCATAAAAATGTTTCAGTCTCATATGTATCTAAAACTTACTTCCTCTATGATCAGTAATGAGTTCTTAGATCACAAACGGTTTTTCTCTACAGACATGAACGTATTCACACCAAGAAAGGTAACTTCAGCAGATCTCTGATTTCCAGTCTGAAGGATGTAGACGATTTAGCAACCCTAGAAGTTTTGGATGAGGTAAGAATTCAGCTTTATTAAACATAGACGTTCCAGGGTTTTTTTTTTTTTAATTTATAGAAGTGATGTGGGCAGGGGGTTCTTTGAATAGCATCTGTAAGTCTCATACTTTGTCTGTCCCTTAACTTCCTTGTTAACTCTCCTATCTTCAGTTTTAATAGATACAACTTAAATTTCTAGATTTTTCCAACCTACTGTCATTTTTTTTTTCTTTTGATGCTCAAATGACAAAGGTTGCCCTGGGCAGAGTTGTTAGATTATATATCTTTCTTCTAAATTATTTTTGGGAATCTCATAGGTTTGATTTATTGAGTTAAAAAACAGTCTGCCTCCTACAACCACCATGTGGTATCCTTCCTCTTTTTTTCTGTTCCAGCTCTCAGTGGAAATAGCAAGAAGCCTCTATGATACCTCATATTATATATATTTCTTTTATTTGGGGGCAGCAGCTAGCCTGTATGGGGATCTGAACCTGTGGCCTTCATGTTATAAGGCTGTGTTCTAACCAACTGAGCTAACCAGCTGTCCAATACCTCAAGAGCCTTTCTGTTTTATGGTCAGTGGTCCCCCTCAAGGGACTACAAGGCCCCTCCTCTTTCACAGCTTACCTTTTAGGGTATGGAATTCTGTTTGCAATTCCTTTTTTCAATTTCTTCAGAAATATTTCAAACATGCCTTGTGAAGATATAATCCAAGCCATTAAATTATAGTCTCAGCCTCCTTTCCCATCATCCTTCTTAATTCCAGATAATCAGATCATTAGAGAAATAAATGGCTTCTTTTCAGTAAAAGTTGGGACTTTGGTCCTTCCCTATCAACAGCTTTTTATTTTTGAATACTTCTTATACGTGCCTGAGCATTTTAGTCAGAAATGCAACAAATCAAGAGACATGTTCTGAACAAAAGCAGTCATTTTTTATATTTAGGGTTGCATAAATAACTCAAGTACTTCCTCAAAATAATCTCTCTCAAGAACATCAAACATCTTGAAATCAAATAATGTTTGCAGGTTGGATATTGCCGACACCTTTCTGAATCCTTACATATCAAATTTTCCAATGATGTGGTTTCTAGGCTTGCAGATTATAAAGAAGATTTCACTAATCATGTAGCTGACCAATATATTAAATATACAGTTTATTTCTTTTTATTGTCTGTGTTTTATTTTTTGTCCCTTTTTGACCTAAGATCCTTTACTCCTCTCGTGTTATGCACTATAAATGAGGATTTCAAATATTATTAAAAGTGATCCATACAGTCATGTGATTTATTAATTATGGAAGTTACTTTTCTGAATTTTTCACTCTATTTCATAAAGCCAAATGGCCTGTGGAAAGGGCTAGGACATTCCATAAGGTCATCAAATCACCTCGATTTAGAAAAAAAATCGTTTACTATATCTTCCCTTCTCTTATCTAGTGATGTCTCTCTTTACTTCATCTACTGCATTTAGTTATTTCCTCAATAGCATTATGTGTGTGAAATCCCTGTAACATATAATATGTCCTTTGAAAAATGCAGGTAGCAATGCATTCTTCGGGGCTCTCGAAGTCAAAGAAAATGCCTGTCAACTGAACGGGTAGTTGCAGACCTTATGTTACATTTCTTGCTATCAATATGTCTATTGTTTTCTAATCTTTAGTCCAGATTTCAGATGTTTTATTTATTATATTGTTTACTTTTCAAATTGTGGTTGATCACAAATGGTTTTTGAGAGAGAGAAATTATTTTTATTTTATTACAGAATACAGTTTCAGAGCAACTCGAGAAGTGTTATTCCAGAGATCAGGTCTATGTCTATGTGGGAGATATACTCATTGCTCTTAATCCTTTTCAGAGTCTGGGTCTTTATTCCACAAAGGTATGTGGTGAGGCATGCATTCGACTACTTGTACAAATAATTATAATATTTAGATACTTAATTTAAATGATGCCAATAAAAATTGTATCCAGTACTTTGAATAAAGAGTTATATAAATATTGCTAAGACCTGGAGATAGGAAAAATAATAGATGAAGTCAATCTGGGTGTAGTTTGTGGTCTTCCTTTTCCCAAAAGTATGTGTCAGAATCTTAATTATATCCAGCTACTGGTAACTGCTCTACATTGTATAACATATCAAAAAATAGATGCCTAAAAAGATATATACTTAATATCTGCCTCTTAACCAAGTATGGTAGAGTCAAAAGTGAAATTATATTTTTATACAGATAATACATACATGGCTGTAAAACTTGTCATTATGAGTTTAAAAATTGCTTTGACATATTGATTGGCTTCATTAATATTACATAAAATGTGTTTTATGAATATGAGCATATAATCATCAATTATTAACCCCCTAATAGTTTAAACATGGAATAGTATCCTGGAATTAAACTAGGCTGGTTTAGCATTTTTAAGTGGACCCATTCTTTTCTAGCTATTTGTGTACTCTAGAAAATTATTTAATCCTGTCTTACAGTTATTTTTATATATGAAAAATATATATCTCTGTTACCCTCTACCACCCTAAAATTTACAAAAGTAACTGTAAATTTATGAGCCTTGACTTAAGTTTCAGAAAATCTGGGCTTTCGTGCAATTCTGCTCTCAATTAACTGTCTGATCTTGGACAAATCAGATGAAAGAATGTATATTAAATGATGTCAAAGGAAAAAAGCAGTGGTCATATGTCAGACATTATATCCAAGTTGTAGTCAACAAAATCATACCTGACTGCTATTTATAAAGTATCTTTTTATTTAAATGAATAATAGTATTTTGAAACCTTAAGTTCTGCTTTGGAAGTGGTATGCAGAATCTTTTAAATACCAGTGCCGGAGTGATGTTAAATATCATTTTATATCATACAATTTCTGAGATGTTTTATGTCAGGCTTTTATTTTGCATAATTGTGCATAATTTGTATATGTATGTATGTGATGTGTGTGTGTGTGTAACATGTATGTAATAATGTTTTGGTGGTATGAAATGGAATTTTTTTATGTTTTGCTGTAAAAATTGGAGCTATGAGTAAATAATTTAGGGTTCAAATAAAAACAAAAACAGTATGCCTTCAAAACCTATTCTTTTTAACCTTTAGCATTCTAGACTATATATTGGATCAAAGAGAACTGCCAATCCTCCTCACATTTTTGCAATGGCTGACTTAGGATATCAGTCTATGGTAACATATAGTTCAGATCAGGTAAGAAGAATCTCAGACTCTTAGAAATTTCCATCCTAGTTTGTCATGTGTCAGCTGAATTTTGTGAGGGTAAAGTCTTCTCACAGTTTCCTTTTCTCTATGCAGTGCATTGTTATTTCTGGAGAAAGTGGTGCTGGAAAGACTGAAAGTGCTCACCTTTTAGTTCAACAGCTGACGGTGCTTGGAAGGGTATAATTTATTTTTCTCTCTTTCCTAACAGAAATATTATTTATATTTCAAAACTTAATATAATTAATTAGATTAATATTCACCAATTCCCACATTTAATAACACACAGAAATTTAAAAATACAGTTTCTACCCTTTGGAGTTTAAAATATAACAAACAATATAAACAGTATAGACTCTGTTTTAAGGATTTTCTAATTCATCTCACTTTTTTGAAGCAAGGTGACATAAATGTGATTTTTCTGTTTTTAGGATCAGTGCTTTCATTGAATGCTTTCTCTACTTTCTCTTCTTTTGTTGCTAACAGAAGGTAAAAGAGAGTCAATATACAAAAATCAATTCTATTTATATATATTGTACATATACTAGCAAAGATCAATTAAAAATTGAAACTTAAAAGTACCATTTACAATAGCTCCAAAAAACATGAACTATATAGATATAAATCTTACAAAATATGTGCAAGATCTGTATGATGAAAATAGAAAAAGTTAATAAAAGACATCAAAGAAGACCTAAATAGATAGAGATATACCATATTCATGGATCAAATTACTCAGTATTATTAAGATGTCAGTCCTCCACAAATTGATCAATAGATCCAATGCAATTACAATAAAAATCTCAGCAAGATTTTTTTTTTGGAAATTGACAACCTGAATCAAAAATATATAAATAAAGGCAAAGGAACTAGAATAGCCAAATAATTTTGAAAAAGAGCAAAGTTGGAGGATTCATACTACCTGATTTTCAAATTTACTATAAAGCTTCAGTAGTTAAGACACTGTGTTATTAAAGAAAATATGACATATAGATCAATGGAACAGAATAGAGAGTCTACACATATATACCTTTATTGATTTTTGACAAAAGTGCAAGACCAATTAATGAAGAAAGCTAGTCTTTTCAACATATGGTGCTGGAATAAATGGATATGCCCATACATAAAAATGAACCTCAATCTAAACCTCACACATTATAAAAAAATTAGCTCAAAACGGATCATAGATCTAAATGTAAAACCAAAAACTAAAATTTCTAGGAAAAAATATAGGAAAAGTTCTTTGTGATTTTGAGTTAGGCAAAGAATCCTTAGATACAACACAAAAAGCACAATTTATAAAAGGAAAAACTGGATTTTACCAAAATTAAGAACTTCTATTCTCTGATGACACTGTTGAGAAAATGAAAACACAAACCACAGGCTCAGAGAAAATATTTGCAAGTCACATACCTAATAAGAACTTGTACCTAGAATATATGAAAAAAAAACTCTTAAAACTCAATGGTAAGAAATCAAATGACAATTAAAAAATAGACAAAAAATTTGAACAGTCACATCACCAAAGATGATATGTAGACAGAAAATAAACAAATCAAAAGTTGTTCAACATCAGTAGTCATTTGGGAGATGCAAATTAAAGCCACAATTAAACACCATTATACACTTATTAAAATTTCCAAAATTAAAAAAAAATCTGACAATACCAAGTGCTGACAAGGATATGAAGCAACTAGCTCACGGACATATTGGTGAGAATGTGAAGTAGTACTGCCACTTTGGAAAGCAATTTGGATTTTTTTTTTAAACTGCACTTACCATAAAACCCAGCAATCCTACTTGTAGGTATTTATCTACATGAAATGAAAACACATTTTTTGGAAGGAGGTGGGGGGGTTGTGAACTGAGCGTTTAGTGTGACAGCCAAAAAAATCATTGCCAAGGCCAGTGTCTGGGAGCTTTCCCCCTATGTCTCTTCTAGGAATTTCTGGTCTTATATTGAAGTCTTTTATCCATTTTTGAGTTGATTTTTGTGTACAATGTAAGATAAAGTTCCAATGTTAGTCTCTTGCTTGTGGAAATCCAGTTTTCCCAGCACCATTTATTGAAGAGACTACTCTTTCCCCATTGTGTCCTCTTGATGCCCTTGTGAAAAATTAGTTGACCAAATCATATGTTTGGATTTATTTCTGGGCTCTGGAGTCTTTTCCACTGGTCTGTGTTTGTTTGTATGCCAGCACAGTACTTTTGTGATTACAATAGCTTTGTAATATACAGGTTGAGCATTTCTAATAAAAAAATCCAAAATGCTCCAAAATCTGAAATTTCACTTTCATCAAAGTGTCTTTCTTTTTTTCTTACATAGACTAGCTAAGGGTTTGTCAATTTTATTTTTTCAAAAAACTAACTCTTAGATTCATTGATTCTGTCTATGGTTTTTCCGTTCTCTATTTGATTTGTTTCCTTTCTAATTTTTATTATTTCCTTTCTTCCAATAATTTTGGATTTAGTTTGTTCTCCTTTTTCCAGTTCCTAGAGGCATAATGTTAGACTATTTATTTGGGATCTTTCTTCTTTTTTAATGTAGGCTTTAGCTGCATCCCATAGGTTTTGGTATATTGCTTCCTGATTTCATTAATTTTTTATTTGTATTCTTTTATAGCTCACTGAGTTTCCTCAGTATTATTATTTTAAATTCCTTTTTAGGATATTTGTAAATTTCTGTTTCTTTGGGGTCAGTAATTACTGGATAATTATTGTGTTCCTTTAGTGGCATCATGTATCCTTGCTTTTCATGTTTCTTGTGTTCCTGCATTGATGTCTGCATCTGATGCTGCAGTCACCTCTTCCAAACTTTACAGAGTGGCTTTTTTTTTTTTTTTTGTCTTTTGTCTTTTTCCATGTCCGGCAACGGATCGCAACCCTC